GAGAGAAAGCACAGCGACACTTTTGGGTCAGTCTCACAGCTGAATGTATCAATCTAATTACTAAAAATCGTCACTAAAACCCACCTAAAAGCCATAGGAAAGCATAGGCAGGAAGTGGACGGGCTGTTCCTTGTTAACAGGAAATGACGTCACGCCTCCAGTGCATATAGCCCATTCTATAGGGCTGGAAAGTCTCGTCCCAGAAGCACTTCCGGTTCATTGCTCGGATGCAAACAAACCGTCAGCTGTTGGAAGAGGCGGTTTAACCCTCTCAGGGCCAAATTAAGATATAGTAACAGGAAAAATCTGAAATTTTGGGAAAATTATCATATGGGGTAGTAATATACAATCCTGCCTTTTTTTGCGTGACCTTCACGTGCAATGTGTTCTGGGATGTTGCATATTTGCAACATTGGCCCGGTGTGGTACTTGAACACCAAAGACTATGATTATGATATCAACGCTAACTTTATTTGTATACTTTTCAAGACAATGTTATAAAGTGCTTACATTGGCAGAAGAACAATACAAAAACTTGGTGTAGATGAGTAAAACATGGAGAAAAAAAAAATTACAATAGTAATAAAGAATTTCTAATTGTAAAAAACAAAATTAGAAATAACTTGAGAAAAGCATAAACATGATGCCGATAACTGCGGCATTACAAATCCTCATCAAGAAGGCCATATCTGAATGTCACATTTTCGTGTGGTACTCCAAGAATCAATTTTTGTTCTTTGTAAATCATCTGCTCATCAATGGAGTGATTTTCTTCCGGTTCAACTTTCAAACAGTTGGTACGGACTTTCTCAAGTACTGGTCGCACCTTGAACAATGGATCATATCCAGCCTCACCCTTTTGCTTTATATTGCTATTGTCGTTCATATGGATGTATGTACGCAGATTATCAAATCGCTTACGTCCCATGACTGTTGCAATTGGGTCGTAATGTGTCGCTGTCTGCCAGTACATGCGATACGACGGCATACGTACTACGGTCATCAATATGTGTAAACCAATGAATTGCTCCATTTCAGAAGGAGTTGTTTTCAGTTCTGGGGCATTCTTCATAACTGCATACAGGTTAGATTGATGAGAAATATGTTCAAACACGGATTTGTCCATGAACTGATCAAAATATCACTTTGGACTTGGTATTTCGTCCGGTGGAGGTGAGAATGCAGGTCCTTCGAATGAAGAGTCTATGTCAGCTGCTGGAGGTTTCCTCTGCCTCCATGAAAACACTTTGTTGACTGGAGCTGGGCCTGGTTGAGGTTCACCGTCATCTGGGGCCTCAGTGTCACTGTCTGCATGTACAGTACGTTATGAATTTCAACATCAAGGTGGCATGGATTAGCTCTTGCTATTGCTGCCAGTGGCTCATCATCATCACGGCTGGAGTCAGACTCAGGAGTTGGCTCAAAATTTGGATCAGCAATGTCATCGTCTGAAATGGATTCTGTTTCAGATAAAGCTCCATCCGGAAGGTGGACCATCTCAATGGCTTCCCTGACTGAATACAATCTTTTTCGGCCTGCCATAATGCACCACACCTGCAAAGAGAGAATTCTGTTCCAAGAAAAGCTTTCAGTCCAACAAAGAGCTGTACTAATATATGTGCCATGGAATTTAGGCTCAGTTTTCCTCACTGCACAGTCAAATAAACATCGTAATATACCATTGCTTTTGATAAAATCTGACTCTGATAGTTAGTAACTTCACTCCAAATCATTTCATTTTCCATAGGATATATCCTAAATGGCACCTATAAGTAATAAGTGGACACTAGTGACACTAAACTTAGGATAAACTGTTTCTCAAAATATAGGCAAACTAGTAGATAAAGCATGTGGCATCTATTGGTACCTGTCCGGCCAAACGTTGAAATATAGCTGCACCTGGGGAAAAATCCAGAGGAGATAAAATCTATTAATTAGCATGTACTGTATCTATATATGTTCATAATTCATCTCATACAGCTTTGGTTTCAAATTAATTGAGTTTAGTAGTAATACTTACATGAAGTTGATACATAGAAAATCTGTTTGAGTGACACCAAGGAAGAAGTCATGCAGTGTTGCCAACTTAGCGACTTTGTCGCTAGATTTTGCGACTTTTCAGACCCTATAGCGACTTTTTTTCAAAAAAGCGACTAGCGACAGATCTAGACAAAGCATTAAAATCATTAAATGTTGTAAATGTTGAAATTATTTTTGTACATTTGTAGTTCTAAACATATTTAGGGTGTTTTTTACTCACTTTTGTCTCTCCCACGACGTTATTCCTCTCTCCTACAGCGTCCGTTAGTTATTTGCAAATTGACAATTATGCAAATTAGGCAATGACGTCATTTAGCGACTTCTAGCGACTTTTGGGACAGCCAATAGCTACTTTCCTTACTGAGGAGTTGGCAACACTGAAGTCATGTTGGAAATGAGACAGCTCCGCCATGTGGTGAGCTAGTGGGATTATTTTTTGCGCTAATACACAATCAAATCACAGTTTACGCGACACATTTTTTAGGTTTCCCAAAGACCAACTGAAGCTGTGGGAAAAGCTATGCAGTTCTGATAAAATATTTTGTCTGATTTTAGAGACAGTTAACTTGAACATGTATTCAAGCTAACTTGTAGCTAATGCTAACCTGTAACAGTGCGCGGCCAAGCCTTTAATTGTGGCTTGTATTTTAAGATAAGATAAGAAACTTTATTGATGTCACACAGGATAAATATTGTCTCTCAAATATTTATTTATTTGAGAGATAAAGGAGTAACATATTAACACGTATTAAATAAAATTTAACAAATGTTCAAATATAACAGAAAACGGACAATCATTTGTATTAAATGAATAGGTAGCCCAACTACATCATGTTATTTTTGACAGCACAGCAAAAAGGAAAAAGGCCCAATGTGAAGCTGCAGTGAGTGTGAAGTGGAGATGGAGCTGATGAACAGATAGAAAACTGATCATTCATATACATTGGCTTATAACCAAAGCAGCAAAGATAGCTGTAAGGGACAACATAAATGTATTTGCATAGGAATAGTGTTTCTATATTTTCTTTCTGATGCGTGATAGTGGATTAAAATACAATGAGTTTGAACCATAGACTGTATGTTTGAACACGGCCCTGTGCCTTTCTCATCTCCCCGTCATGGAAACGTCAGCACATGGCCAGTTCACAGCTGATTCCGACCGTTCACTCAGTTTTTCTGTCCCAGAGAGGAAATGTGTCCAAAATAACACAGGAAAGGCCATTAACGAGGAAGAAGTCGGCGATCTCTGCACCATACAACTGGCACGTGTGGTTTTATTGTATACACGGGTGGAAATCTCGCAATATCTCGCACTTCCGCTTTCCAGCCCTATTGTAAATCATAACTTTTCTTGATTGAATAATCTCATAATATAATGAGAAAAAAGTGAGTAATATGACTTTACTCTCGTAATGTTATGACTTTTCTTCTCCTGGTACAACAAGAATAAATTGTAATCTTGATGATGATGATATTAATAATAATAATAATGCCTTTATATAGCGCTTTTTTGGACACTCAAAGACGCGTTACATGTCATTATTCTTTCACTCCATACACGGTGGTGACAAACTACTACTGTAGCTGCCCTGGGGCACACTGACAGAAGCGAGGCAACCAGTATGTGCCATCGGCCCCTCCGACCACCACCAACCATTCACACACACCAGACTCATTCTAGGCAATGGGGGTATGTGTCTTTAGGCAAGTGTCTTGCCTAAAGACACAACAACAGTTTGGCACTTTACAGCCGCAGCCGCCCCACTGTGGCTGCTGTTCCCAGAGGTTAAGTGTCTTGCCAAGGACACAACGACAGCAGACAGTGGGAGTCGATGGTGAAAGTCTAGAGGTGGGCTCGGACCCACGACCTCTAGGCTCAAAGGCCAATGCTCTACCAATAGCTCAACTGTCGCATGGTGCACAAAGCTGCACAAAAACCGAGACACTGCAAAGCATATAACAAAACCAGGCTCCTGCACATTATTTAGACGACGACAGAAAACAATGTAGTTCTTGCGCCCAGCCACTAGTGGGCTGTGGTACTTAACAACGCGACACACGCGAGCCCCAGCCCCCCCCCCCCAGCAGTATATCAGTATATTCACTTCCTCAACAACATACTCCTCAGGCCACCGCAAAGACGTGAAAGAATGCACCAGCATCATTCTGCATTTAACAGCAGCTGCAAAAATGGAAATTGAAAATAGAGCTTTGTGTGGTTTTGTTTGTGTTTGGTTTGGCAGTAGAGAATTCACACCTTTTTCTTCACAAAGCTGTGAAACAGCCCCCACTGAGCAGCGTATCTATTCTGTGCCACTCTGGAGGTCGTTTCTCAACGCTTGCGTTTTCAACCCCCCAGTACACCGTCTTCATGTAAACGAAAGGCAAATCTGATACCCAACTCTATCATGTATCGGATTGGTCTCACACTATTAATTTACAACGTTTTATACAAAGGTTTTAATTGTTTTGGCAACCAGGTCTGCACGCACACGCACTCAGTTGTCAAATAAACATGTGTTTCTTCACCTGAGACTGAGATAGTTTTGTAACGAATCCCACGACTATTAGATAGGGTCATCTGTGAGCAAATTAAAGCATAAATCATCTAGAAATTTAATGAACTCTGGTGGAGGTGTCTCTCTGTTCATTTAACAGCTTTGTTCGATGGATCTCCATTGCCTCCATTATGCACCGATTCAGAGTTTATGTGACTTTAATCTCGTAATATTTCAAGATTAATCTAATAATATTTTGAGAGTAATCTCACAATATTACGAATTAAACTTTATTCTTACAATATTTTAACTTTAAAATTAAACACATTCTGACTTTAATGTCCGGCAAAAAACAAAACAAAAATTTGGTGAGGCCAAATATCAACAGTCTATGTGTGATTTATGCTTTGTCTTGTAGGCATAGCTAAAACAATGTAAAAATAAAAGTATTAAACTACTCACCAGTCACAGTGAACTTCTTGGATCTGCATGACTCACTGATTTTCTGTTCATAGCAGCACTTGTAAACTCCCTCGTCTTCAAACTTCACTTTTGCCAATGTGAAATCGGCTGAGTAAAGCCCCCTTTGAAGCCCATTTTTTGTTTCTTGAGTTACAGAGTTTTTTGCTTTGGTGAGATTACAAGTGTTATTTGGAAATTCACACCGAATTGTAAGGCTTTCTCCCCAGTTCACGTCTGAGGCCGGCTGCATGGAGATGGCCCCTGAGAAAAGTGTATCAAGGTTAATATGACTCTAAATATCAAATGAATGAATATAATCGTAATGCATTAACAATCAAAACAGGATTATTGACTTTGCAGGGATGATCAATTTCTTAATTTGCATTTCACATGTGTGTGTATTTGCAGGTACACACGTACACTTACACACACAAACACGCACACACGCATACATGCACACACTCACTCACACAAAAAAACACACAAAGAAAGACATGTACAGGCACACACAATGGGCTATATGCACGGGGAGGCGTGCCAACAATTAAATTGAGTTAGTCCAATTAATCCTTTTTTTAGTTGCCTTTGGGAAGACTGGTGTAAGGCTTCCATCACCTTCTTACCATCAATAAGAGCACTTATTACTTACTAACAATAAGAGCGTGTTGAGGTGAAAAGGTTATGCCTCTCAATGGACACAAAATATGAAAAAGAACATATCTCACCTTGGGCGTCTCCTTGGGGGCAGGGAGTATTCTTCACACATTGGCTCAGGGCCCCCTGATCTCTGCAGTGGACCTTCTTCAGCCACACGCTCCGAGAACCAGAGCCGCCTGCATCCACCGCTTTGTCACATCGGAGCTCTCTGCACACCTCACCGGCCTCCTTCAGATGGCTGCTATGTCCACACTTGGAAAGCTCAACTTTCCAATCGCAGTTGTTCGAAGAGCCAACTAACCTGATGCCACCTGGCAAAAAACAATATATGATCATTGTCTCTCCATCTTTATGATTATTATTGTTGCTCCTGGAATTATTTTTGTTCAAACAGCTGGTAAATGGCAGCTGCATCCAAATTCATAAAAGAGAAAGTGGATAAGGACAGGTGATGCTCCAGGACATTCATTCAATTGCTTATTTTGTGTGAACATTTGGTCTGTCTTTTTGACCATTGAATGTTTCTACTGTTTGACGCCAAACACGCAACACACGTGTAAAATCCTCTTCTACATGTTTAATAGCGACAGGCCCAGACGTCCCGAGCCCCTGTGCTAGTCAGTTTGTTGTACATCTAAGAAAGGCTTATTGTAACAAAGTGTGCAAAGTTATTTTTGGGCAACCTGTGTTTGACAAATAAAACAGATATTATATTTGTTCTCCTCTACAACAATAATCTTTGTTCACACAATTAACTTATAATTGTTCTCAGTCTTATGATGCCAATTCCTCTACATTTATTTGGAAGAGCAATTGTCCACGCCTTAAATTATCTACTGTGCTACACATAAGGCGGACTGTCACTTCCAAACTTACATAACTTCATAGTGTAACCCGCTATTGTCCCGTGTGCCTCGGTGGTGCATGGTCTGGGACTGCTGTCCCCTGATGCAATTCTGCTGAAGGACTGAATTACTCAAATCATACTCAACAAACAGTCAAGGTAAAAATAAATGGTTCTTTCAAAGTGGAAGCCCCCTTACTCCCCGTCTCACTGGCAGTGGGTCATGACGTACCTTGACATTGTGAGAGTTTTCCTCTGACAGGTCAACGATTCTGATTTCTTCTTCTTTTGAGTTTTGTTTATTTTTTCTAAGTTTTCTTTGTAGGTCATTAAGTATAGTTGTTGTCCTGAACCTGTGTTGATGGTTTTGTGTTTAAAAGATAATAAGGGACTTTGATCTGGATGAGACATGGTAGTTTTGAGGCATTTTTTTTTTTTTCGCTGAAAATTTTACGATTGTTTTCTCACTGATACATGCCAAATCAGTATTGAATCAAATAATGCAGTTACTACAGATTGAAAAAACCAAAATACTATTTAAAAAAGGGACATTTTTTATACACATACATAAATAAAATACTAACCTGACAGACAGTATGTAAAGTAGAGGAGCACTGCGGAAACACAAAAGCACTTGATCAAAAAATTAAATTGAAATAAAATCAATTAAAAGCTTGACCTTTACCGGTGACACAGTGCTGCCTTTCCATCGCTGACACAGGAACATGTATTATCTTCACAAATTCTTTCTCTGTGCCTGTTTCACACTTACTTCATCAATTTCTGCTTTTGCTTCACACATAAGAAATACTTTTAGAACTTGTTTCTCTCTCAGGAAATGACAACATAGCAGAGCAGTACAAGGCTAACTGAAGGAAGTCTTGAAACAAATCACAAAGAAATATTGAATGCGTCAGTTTAAGCGAGACTTCCAGTTCTTCCAGTGCCCTCTTCAACCACCAGACTCCAGAGCAATGTGGGTGAAGTGTCTTGCCTAAGAACACAATAACAGTCTGGCACTTTGCTGCTGCAGCTGCTCCACTGTGTTGTTCTCAGAGGTCTCCCTGCAAAATAGTACTAACCAGGTTCAATTTGTTATTTTAAAATCAGTTGTGTAATGTGGTGTGACAAAGTTTGGGCACCCCTTTAATTTGGATGATTTTCCTTATTAGTCATTGGTTGTCTGGGTAGGAATTGTCATTCACAGAAGGTATTCAAGAATTACTTAAACCAGATTAGGCTGGTGCATTGAATTAGGCTCTCTTAAAATTTTTATTGATTTCAACACCACTAATTATTGGATCTCAAAATGCGTAACCTCAGTGACCCTTGACCTCCGCACACAGATTAATCCAATCATGAGAAAGGATATTTAAATATAGGACAATTCTAAGTGTTCCCCTTCTTTGCCTTTTCTCAGAAGAGTGGCACTGAGTGTGATTTCAAACGGACTGTCCATGCTTGGAACCTACAACTGACTGAACGAGAGACGACCTGCAAAGAAGAATGGTCCACCAGAATCCAGACTCATTTAGAATTGCTTATAGGTTGTTATTTCTGCAAAAGGAGGATATACAAAATATTGAGTTTGGCTTCAGTAATTCTTGCACACTTTCTGTTAATGAAACAAACTGTTTTCACTTTTCAAACAACACTGGGTTTGTCTCATGACATATTTAACTGACATGTATTACCCAAACAACCAATGATTTATAAAAGAAAATCATCAAAATCTTTTGGCATAACAGATTGGTAAGTCTATACATTTTTAAAATCACACGTGGACATGTAAACATAAAAACATACTAAATATGAAATGTGAAAAATATATCACATGTTATCTAATCTACACAATTAGAGTTTTGAGGCATCTGTCCCCAATGCGGTCTTTTTGAGGTGGGTGCAGTAACATGTTTCTGTCTCTAGAGGTCCACACACACCACATTATGTGTCACCGCAAATGGCTTTTTTTTTTCTTTTTTTTTTTTTACTTTTTTTTTACTTTTCTGTTTTTTGCTTTGGGCAAGGCAAGTTTATTTGTATAGAACAGTTCGCAGGCAACTCGTAGGGAAACAAGACAATTGCTTTAAATCATAAAAGGCATAAAGATCATACATATATCACAGTAGGTTAAAAAGAGTGAAGAGCGCTATGGTCAGAGTAAAGAAGCCTGTACCGCATAAATACTTATTACTTACATCAGGTTCAGAATCAACATTATTTTATTTCCATTGTAAATAACAGGAAGTTACATCTGGGGATTTGCTTTGGTAAATGCTGCAAACAAGTAAAAAAAAAAAAAACCAAGTCTAAATAGATGTAAATCCATGCATAAAACATAAATGCACACAATACACTTTACATAATTCTTGAATAAATAGATTCAACTTAAACCCTTTTTCTATAATATATTTTCTGTATTTATTGAAAGTTGTGTTCCTCAAAAGAAGGGTGCTCAGTTATCTAAGAGGGAAAAAAATATTCTTGGTTTTTCACATTCTATGTGGGAAAAGATCGGTCGGACACAAACATTTTGGATTTCCTTGATAAAGTAAATTAAAAGTAGCTGTATATTGCACTGAATTGGCTTCATCCATTAAATCCAACACTTTCTGCCTCAGAGAGCACAGATACAAGTATAGAAACAGCTTGAAGAGAGAATAAACCAGTCCAAATGCGCCCCATAGTGGAGGAATTTCAGTCCAAGAAGAGCAGGGGCAATAACTTTAGGCAATGTCATTTATATTTTTACATATTTGTCCTTGTAGTGACTCAGCGGCTGTATGAGAGTTCAGAATGGGGCCTTTAGTTCCAGTTATCTGCTGACAGACGTCTACACCAGAAAACCTTCAAAACCCCATCTCTCTGCCCCCCTCTCTGCCCCCCTCACATGGGAAATAACCACATCCACGGACAAAAAATTCTGAACTGGACTTTGCTGCATTTATTCTGTCTCTTAACTCCATCTTTCTGTTACTGTGTTACTGTTGCCTGGATACCAAGATTGGTTAAATGTTTAAATGGGCTTATTTACTGAAACGGACCACTGACCATTCACTGACCACGGATCACTGCAAGGTCAAATATGCAAAAATATACACTTTTGTTTCCCTATACATATGGCATAATCCACGTTTGAGCAAATTAAAATGAATTATTGTATTAATATAGATTAATAAGAAAAGAAAAAAATCCGGCAAATGGAAGAATGGAAGAAAAAAAAAGAAGTTGTTAATAAATGTTTGTTAATAAGCAAGGCAAGTAATAAAGTAAATACGTCTCAAGTTTAACACTATAACTGGACACTATGGCAAAGATCCATCATACTGTATTCACCAGAACAGCTTGTGCTCTTTATGTAAGTGAGTGTCCCATTGATTTGACCTCATATCACATATATTTAAAATCTATCAATGTTACGTCACATACTTTTTGTTTAAAAGTCAAACCCCTCTTTTTAAAAATGTAAGCTAAAAAAAAGTGAACTTGAGCGTCAGTGGCGTGCTCAGGCAGAGCAGTCTTGACACCTCAGAGTTCATAGCGTGACAAGAGTGAGGAAGTGACAGTGTTTGAGGTTGTGGATGGGGTTAGTGCCTCCGCAGTCGCCCTCATGCTGCTGTAGCTCCGCCCCGGACAGGCTTACTGCTGCTGCAATCAACACTGTGGCTGCTTGATAAGAGCACAGGCCCAAGAGAGAGCAAGAAACCTGTAATGAACGCTCACATTTGTTATGTAGCACTTTTCCACCTTCAAGGCATCCATTCAATTCAATTCATTTCAATTAATAATGCACCGGTTTTATATAGTGCTTTTCAGGACACAAGACGCTTCACATGTCATTATTCTTCTGCTCCATACATGATGGTGATAAAATACTACTGTAGCCATAGCTGCCCTGGGGCACACTGACAGAAGAGTCATCGACCCCTCTGACCACCACCAACCATTCACACACACACCAGACTCATTCTAGGTAATGTGGGTGGAGTGTCTTGCCTAAGGACACAACGACAATTTGGTACTTCACAGCCGCAGCTGCCCCACTGTGGCACTTGGTGTTCCCAGAGGTCTCCCATCACTGAACTAACCAGGCCCTGCCCTGCATAGCTACAGAGGTCTGACAGGACCTGGCTTTCACATGCAAGCATGGCCAATTTAATTTATATTTGTATAGCCTTAAATTGCAACAGTAATTATCTCGGAGGACTTAACAAAACTGTTGAATAATATGTGATTGAAGTGTCTTGCCTGAGGAAAAAACTGTGGCACTGTGGCACCATAGGAGCCATTGGTTGAGCCATGTCCCTAAAATGTCCACAAATATCCTTTGATGTCAAGAATCATGACTGTCCTTAGACCCATTGACTCAAAGCATGTCACAGCAACCACTCAAACACGACTGTCTGCAGACACTGGTGTCCTGCCCAAGAACAATGAGTACTTAACCTTACATTAACAACGTTTTATAGAACCAACTCGGACTCCTCCTTGGACTGGCCTTCTGCTGGGACTCTGAGGAGCACAGGGACTGACCTCCTGCTGGTGCTTAGAGTCAGGACTAAACTTGAGAAGGCAACATTTCAGATCTATTCTGAAAACAGGAGACAATTTATACTCTTACAATATTCAAATCCAGGTTAACACTTGTCTTCCCTGGGGTCAAAGTCAATTAAAAGTAGAAGAAAATACCCTAAATGACCCAGGACTGGTCAATTTTGGAGAAATTATCCATATTCAGCACTAAACAGCTGGAAAACAGTTGGGTTTAGTTGGGGATTGTATCTTTTCAATGTACTGTGATTATTTTTTATTTGAATGTTTATTTTCTGGTTTTGTTTGATTCAGTTGTCCTGTGTTGGAACTGTGCTGCACAAATAAACTTGCCTTCAAAACCACCAATAGAACAAAATGTAACTAGTTTCTATACGTCTCAAAACTCTTTTCACATGCTTTCACTTGTTTCCCCATGCGTGTATTTATGGTCTCATCTTTAGATCAGCTTTCTCTGTGAAAATCAGCAAATCAGCAAATCAGCCGTCAGTATCTTCTGTATGTGTGTGAGGACATGTGTGTGAGTATGTTAAGAATGAGAGATGGTTTTATGCTAACTGGAGTGAATGCAAATATATTCTATTCTGAATATGGTCAATATAGTGTCATTTATCATGCCTGCCTACAGGGACTATGGGTGGAAACTATGACTTGCTCTATAACCTGCTACAATGCATCTCTCCCTTTCAGGTAATGGTTATTGCACATTGCCTGTTTGTCTAAATATAAGATAAGATAAGATGGACTTTATATATCGTGCACTGGAGAAATTAACATGTGACATTTGGCATAGATAGAATCACTCAGATAGTGCAAAAGACAGAAGTGTGCAACATGTTAAGGTAAAACATAGTCTGTGCAGGATATATTGTGTACAATAAAAAGTGTCAAACATACTCTAAACTAATTGTCAATCCAGCTTTAGGACTACAATCCTACAATTGCACTGCTATAGTCACTTTGAATTGTATTATACAGTACATACTATGTCTTGCCCAAAAGAAAGAATATTTTAACCTTTTTAACCTCTTTGCGTACTTCCTGCCTTTTTGCACACCCTGGCTAATTCTAAATATGCCAAATGTACAGTTATAAATTGTGAGATAAATAAGGTTTATCTTATTTATGTCACAATTTATAATCTTCAAACCTTACTTCT